TGGGTGGGGGGGGGGGGGGTTAAAAGAAAACTAGAAAAAAACACTTAGAGAAAAAGAATGTATAAAAGCTTTTGCCTATCACGTGTACTTTTACTATTCCGAAACCACTGATCTTGAAAAATAATCAAATCTGCATGTATAAACATTAATATTATTCTCAGAAAATAAATACTTAATTTGCATTTTAGTTCTACATGCACAGCTTGCTTGCTTTCAGCCTGAGACAAATCATAGTTTTTATGGCTTTAACCCGTTTTATTCAAACCATGCATATTTGTGTTTCATGAATTTGTGGGTTTATGGATCTCATTAACTATGAAACATGGATAACATATCAGAAAGCAGATTTGGAAGTGAAGACCAAAAAGATCTCTTCACCATATGAGAAGAACATCCTCTCTTTACTTTTTTTCCCCCCTAATACTTCACAGTGGAAGTTAAGTTTTCTTCTGCTAAAATACATTTGCTAATGGACTCTTCTGCAGAATCAGAGGCAAATTATTTTGATCAAGTCACAGTATTCTTCACAGAATTGTTCACAAGGAGCAAACGTTCTTCTGCATTCAAAATAACATAGCCTTATGTCCAAAATTGCAACTGATCTAACATTTCCACAACATTTTGTAGATGCTAAACAGGTTTAATCTAACTTCCCTGAAAGCTTTGTTATTAAGCTGTTTCTAGGCATTATGTTTAACTCCTCAGCAGGGAAGAATTATTATAGAAAACAGATTAAACTCTGGTTTCCTATTATAAGCTCATAAATTAAACTTATCTCTGAATTAGTCTAAGTCATTGCACTTGGATCTACCACTGCTTTTAAAAATAAATGCCTAGAAAAGTAAGCTATTAAATACCTACTAATAGTCTATTTAATAACTATTAAAATAACATAAGTTAGTAGGGTAACCCTGAATTTTGTTAAAAGCATTACATAAGCACAGCAATGAGTAAAACCAGTTTTAGCTATTCTGGGACGGAATTTTGAAAATGAAAGTTGCTTGATTTACAATCTCAGAATACTTGCATGACTGATCAATGATTATCTTTAGAGTATTTATATAAGCTATTTTATCAGTTTAATCTCCTGCCCTTCCATGAAGGATCTAGCACTAGGACAGTGCTAGATTCATCTACACGTCATAATTTCAGAAGCACAGATATGAGAAACGATCCACCTTTTACCCTTTGTGTGTTGTGAGATTAACCTCATACAGATCTTCTAATTGCTGCTTCTACTACCACAAAATTACAGATGGCTTACATACGCAGAAAAAAAGTATACACATGGCAACTAATATAGCCCATCATTATCTCTTGATGTAGCTTAATGAGTCAGAAATATACAGCGGAGACAGCAACTATTTTCCACTGAGAGATCCAAGGCATCAAAACATGTGAAAGGAGGTATATTTCAAGGTAATGGGGGGAAGTTTTGAAACTGTTATTCACCTGTTCACAATCTCAGAAGGGAAAGGGGCCAAAATCTTTCTTCACTGTTCTCTGCAGACAGTCAGTTGATTCTGGCTCTAACAACTACCACACGCACTACTATGAATCTCAATAGAAAAAGACAAGAGTGAGCTCTATAAATGACAAGAAATACAGACATTTCAACTGTATTATGTGAGTCTTCATGGTGTTTTGCACAGCAGAAGGGATTACACATCATTGCATGAAGTGCTTATATGAGCAGTGGGGTGATGTAACTTTGGAAAGTACCTGCCCAAGCACCCACAGCCAAACTCCAACATCATACTCCCCGCTTTGGCAGAATGCATGATACAGTGTTAACGTGAACCTCATGCTTCATGTAGTTCTGCGTCAGCTATGGAAGAATAGACGATACCTGATCTGCCCTAAGGCTTGCAGAAAAAAGTTACAAAATTCTGGGAATAACTCTGAATTAGCAGAGTGACTGCTAATAAGCACTGTGTATCAATCTTATGCTTTTTGATGCACTATCAAGTATCCTAAGTTCAGTTTTATAATCCCATAGAACCACAACCTAAGTGAATCACACAAAGACATTTAATTCAAATAGAATTTGCTTCCAAGCACTTTAGAAACGTGCATAAAAGTACCTGTAAGCACACTTATAAACAAAATATGTCAACACTTCATGCTTATGCTTGGCTTCCTTTATGCTTTTTCTGAACGACTGCCACATCAGACGTTAAAAGAATGATATTCTCCACGTTCTGCATACTATTATGTTCTATATGCCTTCCATACAGGAATAAATCCTAAATTTTTGTTGTTTTTCATACTGCCTTCATCTCATCACTTCCTTTTGGCTACAAATACCTAATATTTGATTGTCTGTACAACAAATCTGTGACAAATTCAGAAGAAATTAATATGAGGTTGGATTTCATCTGTTAGAATAAGTCAAATAACGAAACTGGAACCACACCATCTTGGGAATTGTGGTCCCCATGCACTAGAAAACAATGGAAAATAACAGAAGTGGCTAATTTACCTTTCTATCAATAAAAAGGACTTTTAAAACTATAACATGGCCTGTACAAAGGAACAGAGAATTCCCTGGAAATATAAACAAGATTTTCAGAATGAGGATAGAATAAAGTTCCACCCATTTCTAACCCTTTCCCTGTTACTTTTAAGTAGACCCACAACTCAAATAGCCAAACATGAAAAACAAGCTATTTACCACTAAACAGGAACTTGGATTTGAAGTGATTAGTCAGTAACTAAGACATGCAATCTGTCTGTGCTGTACATTGCCAACATTTCGAATACTATCTGATGTCATTAGCTTGAAAGTACGCTCACATAATTAGATGGGCAAGAAGAACCATTTAGGTGATCCCACTGCAATAACCATCTAAGAAACTGTTTTTCCACATATGGATTTAAGAAGACAGGAAAGAGGAAAACATATATATTTGCTTTAATAAAAAAATGTAACCCCCACCACATAATTGACAGTCAGGAAATCTGGATCTTAACAATTAAGTTAAGAGTCACCAAAATAACTTACTCACATAAAAAAACCGTAAAACAAAATAGAATAATACTCCTACGTACTATTTATGCAAAGAGTCCAAAGCAGTTTAAAAATATTTAAAAATTAAATTTCACAAGCCATCCCTGGGAACAAGGTAAGCACTGTGACACTCATTTGCTAAATGAAAATACTGAGGTATTGAAAGGGTAAGAATTTGCCAAAACCATACTGAAAGTCAAGGGCACAACGGAATAAGCAGACAACAATTCCTCCATCCTTCAGTCTCCTGAATATGCAGCATATGGAAGTGAACGTGCTTTTCACTGGCAAGCATCAGTTCACAGTACAGAAAATCAATGGTGCAACACACAATTCTTAATCTTTGTCAATATCTTAAAATATTTTTTCAAAATCTACTACAATCTGGTCCCAGATCTAATGGCAGATTCTAGAAAGCCTTATAAATGTTAGAAAATCTTATCTGTATTGATACATTGCTATTATTAATATATCACAAGATGGTCTTAATTTAATTAATTGATCGCTCACATAGGCAGTCTACCTCTCTGATTCCACAAACATCCATGATTAGACAATTCATACAGTTTCTACTGTCTTAAGTTTTCATACCCTGCTACCCCTTTAGTAATAAAGATAAATAAATATTATATCCTACTTCTAACACCGTGCTGGAAAAGTTTGATCCGCAAATCACAAAATCTAAGTGATTAAACTAGTTCACACCATCACGGAAAAAAACAGAACGGTTCTTTGTTATCCAATATTACAGAACAGAATGATCCAAAAGAAGGTCTTTACAATAGTGGGCAATATTAGGTAACAAGCCATTTTTTCCAGTCAGGTTTATAATCTCAATTATAAATAACATCAAACTTTATTCAATGAAGCGATTTTCATACAACTTATGTTCTGAAACACTATCTCTCCTCAGGAAAAAAAGAATGAAGAAATGCTGCAAGATAAGATTCGGCATTAAAATTTTCCATCCGCTAGAAGTCAGGAAGCCAAGTCAGGAAGAAACCTGAGATTGTAATTCCCTCACCCTAGGACTCCAACCATTAGAAAATACAGTTTTAATTTTTTACGTAATTAACACATGTAAAATTGATGCAAGCTGTAGCACATTAAGAGCCCATATATATATTGTGACCCTCAATTCCCACATCTGAAAAAAAGTTAATGCAGAAGAATTCCCCAAAAGAAAATTGTATTTTATTTATCCCAAAGTCACCATGAATATTTTATGTTACTACATTGTTCCAGTCCATACCTGCAAACCTGCCAGTTGAGCAGCTGACCTCCCTCTGAGGCAGAGAATGAGTGCCACAAATGCATTTAAGTCCTCCAGAGAGAGGCTCTTGACCTAAAACGGAGATGAAAAATAATACATTACCTGCAAGCTCTGAGGAGAGACTTTCTGAAAATTGGCCCCTCTTATTGATCCGGAATACAGCGCTTAAATCAACGACCTCATGAAATTATGACCACCATGATGTGATGACAATTATGATTTATTTCAAACCTGTACATGGATATCTGTTGAAAACTTAAAAAATAATCTGAAACTTTTCAGTTACTTGTCTTTGTATTTTAAACTAAATTTCAGGATTAAAAATGTATTTGGATTATTTTACTTGCTTTAGCTTACATATTGATGCCAGAGGAATTCAGAACTATGAAAACAAAACCTAAAGTGCTCAAGTGAGAAAACATGGATGAAAATTCTAAATCCAATTTAATAGGATGCAAATACTTCTCTCAGAAAAAGGAGAATAAGGGCATCTACTTTCGAGAAATAGTGTTCCAAGACCCTGTATATCCAAAGGATTGCCTCAGGAAAAAGCTGGCCTCTAGACCAGCTGGGCTGACTCCCCAACAGTATCAGTCCAGTTCTGATCATTTGCTTCCTCTATAAGAGCACAATAACCATAAACTACACAGGTGCATCAAGACTGAATATCTGTTACAATTGTTGAGGCTACCCAGAGGCCTCTAAGTGAGATCCATATTGGCACTATAATTCAGTATCATTTGGAAGTTGTGGGTGGGTTTCTTTAGTGAAAGTGTGGAGAAGAGCTTTGTGGGACTACAGTACACCGTGTGATTACAGTACAGTTAAAAGGCTACCTAAAACTTTGTACTGCCTTCCCTGATTGTCAGGGAACATTATGCATACCCCATTACAACCTCTTTAAGATTTTCTTCTGAAGGACATTTATAAATTACAAAGTGACAAAAAAAAAAAAAAACAAGAGAGAGAAATTACTAAAAAATATATTGATATAAATCAACAGAAAAAACAAACACTGAGAAGTCACCTATAACAGCTTCACTTCTTTATTTGCTTAGGAGCAAATAAAGCCCATTTTTTCCCCCTCAAGATAAAAAAAATCTTCAACCACTGTTCAGAATATACATTTTTTCATTAGGCCTTGCTGCTGATCCCCTTGCTGCAAAATAGCTCCCCTCTATTACACCTTGCATAAAGCATTAGAGGGTGAGGGATATCAGAATAAAGTTTAAAGCTTTCAGAGTGCTCTTTGGTGTTTATTAACTCCATTCAACCTTAAGTTATTGACTAGCCGCTAAGATGCGATGATGGCCCTTCTTTACCCCACCCCATTTTTATTTCAAATCAGGTGTCACCTTTGCGTAGAGAGCAACAAGAGAGGTTTATTAAAGCTATAAACTTCATACAATGTAGTAACAAAAAACATAACTTTCATCTACAGAGCAGTTTTTAATACTTGCACAACTTTGCTCTAAAAAGGCAACTCAAAGACTGCTTGCAAGTACTACAGTGAAGAAATGCCTGCAACACAGCAGAAGAGCCAAAAAATGTGAGAAGGCACAGCATGTAAAAAAAAACTTCTTTCAAACACTTCATTTAGTATCCTAACCAGGTGGACTATCACACTTCCATTGTCACACGGTTACCAAAACTGTAATAGCTCAAAACAAATGTTTCAATTTCCCCTTTCTTTGGGGACTCCACAGTGTGATCGCCAATCTCATTTACTCCTTTACCCGGTTTTTGAAGACCAAACTATTATTTTGTTATTTTTTCCACTATTTTTATTCTAAATTTGGAGGATATTTGAGCAGTACCCACACTGAAAAGATTACTCTTCAAATCAGCACTTTCTGTTTATTCAGTTAAGCTTGCTTGTTAGGATTTTTTTCTCCCTTTTAAAAAATTTGTCTGAATTTTTACATTAAATAAATATACACACATTTTGATGAAGCCAGAGGTGTTGATCAATATATTGGCTCTTGCAAAAACCTATGTTTTAGGTTACGTTAGATGATAAGTAATGAAATTGTTAATACATTTATTTCTTCATCAGATGAGCATCTAAATGATGCTAGCCTGCTTCAAGGAAACCTAAAACGGCTCAGCTTCAGCCATCTTCGGGTTACTGCTCATCTTTACTCTCTAATACAAATGTAAGGTTAAAATATAAAATATAGACAAGAATTGGGTGACAGTTAGACAAGCATTGTTTTTTTCAGCTCTAAAACAAATGGAAGCACTACTGCCAGCTCACTGTATGGCTGTTGACATTCACTCTTGCTCTCTTGCTTTCCTCTCAAATGTACCAAGAAAACAAATGGATAAGATTAGAAACCTAATCAGAGTTAAAAACAACTCAGCAGTGAACAATATTTTATTCCAAATCAGTTCCCTAGTCTGATTCACAGGGTATATTGTATCAACACAACTCTGACAGCAGAAGAGAATCAGAAAAATAGGACAGGCATGGCTGAAACTGGCACTGTCATGAAAAAGCTTCCAGCAAACTAGCCTTTTGCACGATCTCTCCGCTATTCTTACGGAAGACATGAGCTTTTTTTAACGTTAGCCATTGGATAATAACTTCTGAAGACTGTATCCCTAAAAAGTTTTTTTTTCATTTACCAATAGGCTGTGATCGAGGCTCAGTTAACCCTCATTTCTGTAGGTGTTCTATCTTACTATTCCTCTTCTCAATCCTACTAAATGAACCTTTCTCAGCTAATTTGGTAACCATGGTATAAAAGGGTATAGAGAATAGCACGAAAAATAAGTGAAACAGTCAAAATATATCATATACAACAAATACACAAAACACTTAAAAGTATGTTTTTAAAATTAAGTATGTGATATTTATCCTGTGGAATTGAAACCACAGGGCATGAAATTACATTTAATGACCTCCATTTTCAAAAATTTTTCCATTAATATTCTGCTATACCATGAATAAAGAAAGAAGTAGCTATTGACCATCTGTAGAATTCCCATACAAACTTTCACAGCGCACCATCTAAGTTTGAGCAAACATATATGAAGGGAAAAGAACGGAAAAATTGGAGATAACTTGTGTTATGTATCACACACAGTATAAATCTGTTATTGAGAAATGGGAAGTCTAAACAAGCAAATCATGAAAGACAAAATGCTATTCAGTGCAAGAAAGTGCAACTAGAGCTCATCCAATTCGATGAAGGCACTGTAATTTTCTTATCCTCAGAGAGGAAAAGCTACTTGTGCAAACGCAATTTGAAAGGTGGCAAGTTTATTATTTATTATTTAACCTTGCATTCCTTTTTATTACAATAGAAGTAGTCTGCAAGCTGCCAGATGTTTGGAATCATAACAGAACTACTACCTAATGATTCCCTTCTACTCAGAACTTAATGAGCGCAGCCATATCCTCAATACTGGCTTGAAACGGAGTAGCTTCATGAAGTGGTGTGAAAAAGTAGTGAGAGCTGACTAAATATTTATATTGTCTGTTGGTACAGCCTGCATAGTCACCTGGGGGGTGTGAGAGGGTCTTCTTTTGATGACATGAAGGAAACACAGAAGGAGAAGCTTTGATTTGCAGTCAGGTCCCAAAAAGAGCAGCAAATCCCTCAGCTGACACTGCTAAACTGCCTAAGGGGCTTTGTCATGGGGCACGTGAAAGTTACACACTTACTACTAAAAAACTACAAGTATTTTCTTAAACAGGACAATGCATGTTAAATGGAATAATTAAAAATACTGTAATGTAGTACTATTATATTTGACCAATTATGCCTACAGTAAAGACTAAGGGAAAAATTGAGCACAGGCGAGGAAGAAACAGTTTACTAGAAGTAGAGATAAAGAAAATGTAACCATTCAAGTTACCTGCAGGATAAGATACGCAAGCAAGCAGCAGAATCCTGCAACAGGTGCTTCCAGAGCTTGGAGCTCTTCCATCATGTCCTGAAGGTGAAAGCATGCCAGAAATGTACTATACCGTTGCTTTTCCACATCAGGTCCTTTGGCAAACCACAGTGTTTTCAAATTAGGTGTTCCACCTACAAAACAAATCCATTATTTTATCTTGGCAGCAGCAAGACAAAACATGTCTTCCTCATTAAAACCTGAAAGGAAACAATGGATCTGCTCTTGGAACTTGCAAAGACCACAAAGTGGAAGTGAAATGAATTTGACAAAAACTGATATTTAAAAAAAAAAAGCACCTGTAATCTAAACAAGTTGTATTGACTATAGTCATGTTTAGCAAAGCGGGGTGAATTCAGTTGTTACAACAGCATAAACCACTTTGAGACAAGAGACATCCACCCACTGCAAGAATAAAGTTTGTCTAAAATTGTTTCCTTTCCCTTGAGGACTCAGAATACTATTACAGTGAGATTAGCATCATCATAAAACAGCAATTCAACAGGAAAAAAGAATATCTGTATCTTCATCCTTCCTCCTACAGCTGACCTAGCCGGGCTCACTGAAAGATCCTGGCATTGGCTCCCTCATCACCACCTACTTTAAGGAACAAACTGGCCACCTATGGCATTTGCTGGTAAAGCCAGGGGTTGCACTCACCCTCCACAGAGCACTCTGCTAGTAGCACGACTCCTCTGCAGTAGGTCCACCAGCAATTTTGGGGGGCGGGGGGAATCAAGGCTACCTAGTATTTTCTATTCCCTAGGCTACAGTACAAAACGTTACTGCAAACACTTGCAAAAGAACGGTCATCAGTTAGGTATAATAAATCTTTTGGGGCTTTTCTACAGTATCATTCACCAATGTGTCTAAATGCTTAATACTTACTCTGTGTTGCCATCTCCCAACTCGGGACATGTGTGAACAAATATAAGATTTGCTCCCCATCTAAATTACAGTTAACCTTTTATCCAAATAAACACTAATGAGGGTGAAATAACAGAACAGCTAGCCAGTTATGCTTAAGAATCGCAATCAAAGATAGAATCCTACTGTAAAGCGCTGCTGCTTCTGTAGTTAAATAAAAAGAGGTGTGAATTTTAAATGTGAACTAATTAAGCCACATTTGTTAACACCTTTTTTTTTTGGTGACGTGAAGCAGCTGTAGTCCACAGTTAGGACCACTTGGTGATAATAAACGGTTAAAGTGACAAGGTGCTGAGATCTACATAGATGATGTTTATTGAGCACAGAAAGCCCATCAACCAAATGGTACTAATTCTACAGAGGGGGAGAAACTAAAAAGCAAGTTCTCTAGCATTTTCTTTCTTCATTTCCCTGGTGGATGTTTGTTTTACTATTTTTACAACTAACTTTCCCACCAAAAGTTGCAACTATGTAAAGAACTACTTGCAATCCTACCAAAGAATCTGGAAGTTTTTAGCCTTATTTTGTAAGGAGATATACATATAAATAAATAAATATGTATATACATACACACACACATACATATACATATACTGGTAGATTGATTGGGGTTAGAAATGCAGGTTAGTGATATCACAGATACTGGCAGTTGAAAGGGCCCGTACAGGCAGCACGATAAAACTCAGATTACTGTTTTTAGCACTGGTAATTGCTGCATTAGGAAAAAAAAGAATAGCAGACTGACTTCCAGGAGGGAAAACAAAGAAAACATACATTAAAAAAAAAAAAAGACAGCTTTTCCTATGAAGGCTAAGCAACTTTAAAAACATGAAACAATTTTTACAAGTGTAAAAACAACCAGTTTTGATGTGTACTGCTTTCTAGAAGGTTCTGATCAGCTGCACATGAAGAGATGCTCCAAGAATCAGAGAAAGGAAAGTACTCTCTCTCATCTGTACAATTTTTTTTGGAATGAACTGTGTCCAGGGGTATACCTAATAATAGAAATTTTTCTTTCTTCGGAGTAACACTACTAACTACAGCAATAACACAGACTAAGTCTTGTTCGATGAAAAATAAACATTTTAAAAAATGTGTAGCGTCACTTCCACTAGCATTTCGTCCAATTAACCTTCAAACAAGTACAACAAAAATGTATATATCTATATTGAGAGATCTCAACAAAAAATTCAAACAATCTCTTCTATAAACAGTTTCTTACACTTTCAGAAATAACGTCTACTTGTGCCTGGGAAAAAGAGGTACTGAAGAATTATGAGTTATTTGCTCTGGGAAAGAAAACTTGACGCTCTCTCCTTTTGGCTGGTATGTTCCAAAAGCAGTACTTTTACACAAAGATCTCAATGCATTCTTCAAGTAATTAAATTCCATGTCAGACTCAAGAGTTACCTGTTATATTAGCCCTTACATGAAAGATAAGTACAATGAAGTCACAAATACGCCGAAATTTAATAACTCTCCCAGGACCATATGTACAGTCAACAACAAACCTAACATTTGTATACAGTAGACCTGAAAAACAGTTCTCTGCTCCAGTTACATCCTTACTACATACTTTAACAGTAATTAGAAAACACTCCTGAAAGAAAGTATATTTGGAGAGGGAGGAAAAATAACTTACTTCCTGGACACATCTGAATATTTACAAGCTTTGCTTCAAAAAAACAAAGCTAAGTAACAGAATGGAGAGGCACAGAAGAAAACACTTCAAAATATATAACTGATACACCACTACTCTAAACATTACTCACGAGAAAATTATCTCCCCTATTTGGTGTGTAGCAACCAGGAGTTCCTACGAATTACAGGGAGAGAACCAAACACTGCGTCCACTTACAGTTTTTTTACACTGTTTTGTGCATATTGAGGATAACCGTATTCAGAAGTATGTACGTAGTACTTATGCCATCCTAGAAGGAGAGCATCACAAAGACCTCTAAGAGGTCCTGTCAAGAGGTAGCGCTTTTCTAAAGCCTAAAATGGACAGTCAAGTGAAAGAGAAATCATTGATCAATTTATTTTTTTCCTTTTAATGCATATATTTAAATACATGATCAAATGGAAAGTGCTCTGAAAAACAAGAGCACTTCAAGTGAATATATAAATACTGATTTAATTTGGTCAACTTCATTAACTGACTTATGAGAATATGCAGTGTATGCAAAAGTTGTGGAATGCATTAATAACGTGATAACGTTAATTTCTATGTTTAAACAAAGGTGATCCCCACATTCATACCAACCTAAGTCAGGTAATCATGCTGTACATAAATATCTATGTATAATATTGATTTTTCATATCTGTTTGAAGTAACAATGACTACTGAATTTTCATTTTATAACAACTGTAATAGAACTTTAACATTTCATTGTTTAACATGCTCATGTAAAACTGAGCTATAAAAATAAGTTTGTAAAACTGTACTTGCCAGGCACGCTCAAAATTAATTTGTCAACAACCTTGGCCAATTTTAAGGATGCCATAAACCCAAAGGCCAATTAAATCTTAACATTAAAGAAGCATTCAGAAGAAAATAATTTGAAAATGAGCGCACCCATGACATATGCCTACAAGATGCAATCGTTAGAAGACTGAAAGCATACCCAGACTCCTGCAGCTGATCTGCATGCACTTTCAGCTACAATATCCTACACGTTTTCAGAAAGAAAAGGAAAAGCAGAATCAATATATTTCCAGTATAGACTATATAGACTATACGACTTCCTTCTGTTCCATAATAAACCACATGCACGCTAAACATATCAAACAGGTCAGCTATGCTCACAATATAAGGATGTTAAACAGCATTTTCTTAGATCACAGATCTTCTAACCAAATTAATTTCTCAGAGATGGTTTTTCCAACTTTTTAAATGGTATTCCGTCAATGTATGGGAAACATCAAGATCACATTCATTCCAGTGAAAGAGAATACTCCAGAGAGAATGAGAGAAAGACAGAGAAAATGCCTTTGCATGCTAATTCAGAGACTCTGTCTTGAGAAAAAAGCATATACATAATACACACAACATTTTCAATCTATTTTAAACTCTCGCTTTGTTGCCTTTAGGATTTGATGCTCCTTTCAAACAAAAAAAAAAACCACACCCACCAACATTCAGTCTATCACCTGCAAGCTTTTCAGATGCAAGACCCTTCTACCGTTTTATATGTACAAAAATAGACTTACAAATTTCAGTGGGATTTCTTTTTTAAGATCAATGAGAAATTTCTAATATTTCTAGCGAGGTAGATTATAGTTCAAAATTCACATCACATACTCTTTCTTTAGAAGTTTCAATCCAAATCAACTTCAACAGAGTCAAGATTCCCATATATTCTCAGTACATTTCTAAAATAGTATGATGATGCAGTTACCATTTTTTTTCTCCTTAACAGGTAAAACAAGGACCCTTCCAGATTTATTGCACCTATGATTTTTCAAATAATTTCTATTCAGATTTCATTTTTTTGAGTAACCTGATCCTGACTGATGATTTTGAACTCTAACTTCCTAACAACTTCTGTAAATTTAGCTCTAAGTAAGATCCCCGTCTGAAAAACGTGATGCACTGCTGAGAACCTTATTTGGTGAATTACAAAGTCATGCAGTGGAAAATAAAAGATGCATGAGTGAATGTAAGGCATACAAATATGGACTGCAAAAATTTTAGAAAAATATTTGTTCGATGAAGGAATGACAACAGAGAACTAAAAATACACACTAGAAGTCCTCCTCCCCTTTTTTAACAGTCTGCTAGAACAGCCTTTCATTATTGAGTTAGTAAAGATTATGGCTGAGAAGATGCTGCTTTTATAAACTCCTGTTTTGTGGTTGATTTTAAATCCTGTTTATTGTCAATATGAAGGTGGGTTCTCTGTGCAGCACGTTTGCAGAGCAGAACCAGAGAATACGACATGAAGTAGATTTCTCTTCAGAAAAGGAGGAATGTACAATACTACCTGGGAAGGAAAGTTTCACAACAGTAACTATAGAATGTCTGCCATGCAAACTGAAACGCAGCTGCATCAGAAGCACACATAGCTGAGGGACCTTGAGGATGAAGATTCAATAATATAGCCCCAGTACAGCATGCTCACTTCTGGCCAGGACTCTGAGGTCCCACTCAGGTGATGATTCCATGCTCCTACGGTTCTCTTGCTGCCCAGAGGCAAGTGGATCCACACCATAGATTAGGTATGTTTACCTCTACTGTAATCAACCTCCTGCTTTTTAAGTAAATCACCTCAGCAGGAGTGCTTGGAACAGAATTTGAGGCTACATTTGGGGTAGTTTTGCATTTTCTTGTAACACACATCGGTATGGTTTATGCTTTCTGGCAGTTTTTTTTCTTTGTTTGATAAATGCATGCTCCCGTACAGCAGAGCATTGTATGCTGAAATAAAACAGTTCTACAGGAGAGACCAATCGATTTCTGCCTCATGTATTCATATCCACTTGGAAAATTTCACAGCAATTTCATGATATCAAGTCAATTAGATAACCACTCTCCTAATAACACATCAGGGGCAATGGACATTGCAACTACTGTGTATGAGATGAAAGCAAGTTCATATATTCTTTACATAACTCAATTCTTCCCAAACACAGCTCCTTTCGAAAGGACTTTGAAAAGGCTGCTGTCTAAAGATCAACTGTTTTTCCTTCATCCTTGAATTTGAAGACTCTCCTTAAACATGTAAGTTTCAAACATTAAGATAAACATATAATCTTAGGATACATTAACAAATGCAATTTACTATAACCCTAGAAAATTAGAATCAAAGAGGTTTTAATCAATCTCCAGCAAAAAAAGGGAAAAAAAAAGCAAGAACTTCATATGATGTTCACAATAAAGGAGGGAAGGGATTCAGACTAGAGCAGAACAAGGCCTGCTACTGAAAACTCCGGGTGCTGCGCAAAAAACTGCTAGTAACTACTCTCAAATTCAATTACATAACCATTTTTCCTAACAAGATATCAATGGTAGTATATATCAACAGAACTAATATAGATACTGTATCAGTAGAACTAATACATTTCATATGAAAGACTAAAAACATCTGAGCTCCTGATCCATCTGTTAACGGATGGATAGACAGAGAGAGAGAACGACCAGAGTAAAGACAGAGGAGTTACAAATACAATTGCACGGACAAATTAGCAAGGTAACTAACTGCTTTTATGATTCTCTCTGAAATACAAAACTGATGTGATACCTTTTACTTTTTACCAGAAACTGGCATAGCATGATACAATTTAGTGATAAAAAGATGACTGACACACACAGGACCCAATCATTTAACTAAAGTATAAGATACTTGCTTATAAATGAAAGACATCCCTCATAATATTGAATTCAGTAAGATGTTAATGAATGTGTCCTTCACTGAAGGAAAAGACAACTACCAGAAGACTGAAGTAAATACAGTAAGAATACCCAAAATAGTTGATGCTTAAGACAGTAAAAGAGACTTCACAGACACAAGTAGCCAAATTATTTTTTCACTGAAAGTTGGATTCTTTTTAGGGGTGTCACAGGTGATCTAAAAATGACCACTTTTTATTTTCTCCTCCAATCCTGTTAATAGATTATCTCAAACAGCACAACAGAAGAATTTTAATATGGCCCTGCACACCACTTATCTTGGCCTTGGGGCAGTGTTTAGAACCTTTAAAGAATTGTTTGTATTTTAGAACTGATGTTTGAATTAGCACTGGGTTTAATGAGAGCCAGTAATAACGTACTTCAAAGCTGAATCCTATTACAAATACACAGGGCAATTAGACACAATTACAGACATGCAGAAATTCCAACTTCAGCTCCTTGCTGTTCACAGTCATTTCAGATTCCATATCAAATGCCTAATGATGGATTTTATATAATGATGTCACAAAAAACAGTTTATCAGTTGAGATTTCAATACGTATTTTAATGCTACCTGGAATAGGAGGCTGTACAGGTTGTACCAGCTCTGGTTGCTGTAAAGGATTTCCAAAATAGACAAACCACTCTTTTACCGAAGGATAGGCTCCATCTTAAAAAAAAAAAGACAGAATTGGGTCAATAAATCAAATACATGCATTGACACTAGTGTAAAAGTTGGAAGTACTGGTGGTCAGCATTGTAAAGTAAGAGAAAGCACTTCACAGTGACTTGTTTGCTTAGCTTGCTTAAAAACAAACCCCCCAAAATTAGTTCTAGTATCTTTATGACAAATCAGAACAAATGAATAGCGTTTGAATTATGTACTGTAAATATGAGTTTCGAGTCAGGAATTGCAGCCAAAAATATAAGCACAAGAGTCTGTGGAAAGCATTCTAAAATGGCTTTCAGCCAATTTTAGGTCCTCTCATTCCAAGGCAGTAACAGACAGCTGCAGAGGCATCTGGTATAGCTTAGGGACCTGCATGAGCTACCTTAGCTTCTTAGGGGTGTCCCACTGTCACATGTGCAGCCAGCCATTAATATAATCCTCCTCCCAACTTGCCCTGACATTTCCTGTGTCAGGGTTTGAGACAAAATCTTTACTGGAGGCCTTGATGGCTATCTATTTGAAAGCTGACGGCAATGGAGTCATTCCAGAGTCAGATGCGGAGCTTTTAGAGCTCTTTTACATTGTTTCAGACCTTTTATCTGGTATAAAGGGACGGCGTATGTCTAATAGCTCAGGTGGCTTCCTACCTCTCCCAAACCCCCCTAAGTAAACATTAAGGTATCTATTAACTTAGAAGTTTTGCTACCTGAGCCACACTTTCCCCATCCCATATTGACTTTAAAGCCCAGATCCCAGTATAATCTAAAGGAAGCTGGGTACCTCACTTCTCTGAATGTTTCACTTAAAGAATCTGTCTACAGAAAGGGGGCATGCAGAGACAAGGGTGTAGCCAATTATCAAATTTGATTTACATTGCATGAGGAAGGCCTAACAATGTCCTCAGTCCCTCCAAATAAAACACCCTTGCTGGATACAGGTTTCTTCCTTTCCTTGCACAGCATTCATTCCAGCATATTGGTATATCTAATCCAGTTATCTTGATAGGCTGGCTCACTTTTGTAGATGTTATAAATACACTTAGGGTGGAAACGGTTACATGTTCTCTTCGTTACTGCATCTAACTACTTGATGCTTTAAGAATTCCAAATGAAAGAAATCCTCAGAATGCCTCAAAAAGTTAAGAATTTTTGAAACGCAGTCTACCTAATTTGAGATAGTCAACCCATAAGCATTTTAACGCACGTCTTCACACACAAAAAAATCTGCAGATGACTTCCCTAAATGCAGAAACTGGGAGTTACCACTGCTATACATGGTGCTTCCGCATTGAGCATAGATTTTGCTTTTATGATAACCTTGTCACAGTACCTTAAATTTTCACCCCTGTGATAAATAGTACGAAATAAACAGACTCAGCTACTCCTGGGCACTTGGAAGAGTGTTTTTAAATCTTTTCTAAGCAAATCTCAAAGCTAATCTTTTTTTTCTTTTCTTCCCTCATCCCTTCGCAGATTCACAGAACTGCGTCTCTAATTCCTTCTAGCCGTGGCCCACAGTGCTGAAGCTACTGGTTTTAAAATACTGGGGCTTTGGGCGTACTAACACCTGCTTTTCACCACCAATTCCCTTTACTCTGCACTATCATGCACAAGTATTTCTCATGCCACAGTCTGAAGTCCAGACAAAAACCTTACCCAGCT